GGGTTTTATTTTTTATTATTTAAAACATTATCATGAATATGATGAATATTCTTTTCTCTTTCTCTCTCTCTCTCTCTCTCTCTCCCCCACCGTATTTCTCTCACTCACTCTCTCTCTCTCTCTCTCTCCCCCGTTCTTAGATGCTTTTACTTTCTTATTATTATTGTTACTTTTTGTTTTGTTTTTTCTTTTTTTTTTACTTTGTGTCTTAAATTTTGTACGCCTTTCAATGAATGCAAACTAGAATTAATTTTAAATAGATAATGCGAGTGTGTGCGGTTATGCGTATAGGCTCATTTAATGATGAGTATCACTTCGTTGTTTTTTTGTAACTTTTGTACTGGTGGTGCTGGTGGTGGTGAAGCTGATAACAGCCCGCTTATTTATTTGCTTGTTTGTTTAAAAGGGCGTTAATAATTAAAGGCACTCAAACGAAATTCTACATGATAGTTCATGTATTTTGATTTTATTCTTATGTGCATAAAATCAGCACTTCGATGCAGTGAGAGGTAGGCGTGGTTCAATTTTCATGCTATTGAAAAGGAAAGGCTTTAAAAATATTCACCAAATGCAGAAGAAGAAGGAGGAAATTTGCATGTGAATAATCTCTTTAAGTGGAGAAATGATAGAATGTCACTTCTATACACTTTTCAAAAACACTTTCATAATAATTTTTAATCTCAACTCCGAAAGAAAGCTTTAATTCTTTCACATTTAAACTATATGTAACTTAACGTGGTGCAAAAAGTGTAGAAATTCGAACAATATGTATACGTATGTACAAAATACTATCTTACTCATCATACCGTTTTTCTACATTTGCTCTGATTGCTCTCTGAAGCTGCCAAAAACTTCCATGACTACTTGTGTAATAGTTGTATTGAAATCATTACTAAGATGATAAGTTTTCCCCTACGCAAAGCAATTCCATTAGTATCACTTACAAAGCCTCTGCCATGTGACGGTAGTTTCTAATCTATAGAACTTTGCAGACCATTAAACTAACGCAAACGAATATTTTTAACGGACAAGAAACGTACCAGTCAGACTGCTTTCATTTTGGTTTTCCAGTTGAGTTTTTTGTATAGAAATTTATTTTCCTTTAATTTCGGTTCTCTGAAGGCGAAATAAACAATCCGGTTCGCTACAATAAGATAAGAATCGACCTAAGATGGTCTATCCACCTGTCTATCTGATACCTGTCCATGTTTTTATATATCAACCTAAAGCTCAAAATTTTTCACAGGTTTAAAGTGAGGCAATTCTTTGAGCTAAATTTGGATCTCGTCAGTTGACGCGTCAGTTGACGTTTTGGTCACCTTCCAATATGAGATCTTTCATAAAAGCTACGCTTTCGCGTGTGCACGCGCTGTAGGGCATTTAACGGTTGACTTTAACTGACTATATTGTTTTTGCTTGTTTTACTTTAATTTCAATTTCCTGAATGGGCAGTGAACTGGTTTACTAACATTAAGTCATTTTTTGTATGAATGTACGAATGTGTAAGAATGCATTTTTTTTTTTTTTAAGAGATAAACTTTTCGAATTTGTAGCAGCAAATAATTTTGTGCCTCCTTTGTTTCATTTCATTCCCGTTTCTTGCATTGTGGGAAGTCCACTACGAGGCGAAGACCCTAGAAGTGCTATTAGTTAAAAAAAATGACACAGTTAATAAAAAAAAAGGCGGATAAATTTCAACTAGTATTGTCAAATTGCGCAAAAAATCGAAAAGATAAAATAGTTAGCTTACGTATCATAAAAGCTGTTGCAGCTACTCCGAGTGACTTGAAATAGAATCAACAATCTTTGGCTTCATTGCAAGTTTCGAAATCGTTTTAACTACAAGTTAACTTTGATCAAATAGATTTACCGAATACTGAACAGAAATGTTCATTGCTTCCTCACCAATCGAGAGATTTCAAGGTCTCCGCACTAACAATTTCTTTTAGACAGCTTTCACTGCATCTCTAACTTAGACTAGGGCGGAAGATACACTCTTTTTTTTTCTTTTTTCTTGCAAATATATTTTTAAAAAGCTTAATAGTGGGACAATTGAAAGAAAAGTTGTTAAGGCGGCGAACCTTTTGATGGCCAATAATTATTTACAACTGAGAACTATTTTTCTAACCGCCTGGACTGCTTTTATACTCATAATCAATTAACATAGATCAATGTTTGCCAAAAATTATAATCCGTGATTAATGACTTGCAAACTATTCGTACAAAATGTATTTACAACTAATGTACTTTGCAGAATAAAAGGATCGGTCAATGCAAATCAAATTTCATCAAAATATCTCAAAAATTGCGACCTGTGGCTTGAACAAAAATTTAGATGTGGAGACATCAGAGGGATAGATAGACTTAGGTCAATTCGGATTGTGATTCTGAATCGATCGGTGAGTCTACCTTAAGCCTTTCTGCGTGCTACACACGCCCGTACTAATTTAATATATCCTCTACCATACCTTGTGTAGGGTATAAAAATCAAAACGTTATAATGATCAAAAATCTATACAACTTTCACTCTCCCTTTGCTTTGACGAGAACATACGCAGTTTTTGCAACTGGAAGAGACAAAATTTGTCTACTCGCTCTCTCTTAAACTTGACAATTAAACCGATCATTATTAACTCCGCTTACGCTTAGGTAAATTTACTATGTGGTAAGAAAATACCAGCGGCATATTTTTCGCCTTGAGTTCCTCACATAGCACAGAGCGCTGAACACAAGGAATGAATTTTTATCGCACGCTATGTAAAATGCTATTTCTATATGATTTTTATTCCAGACACATAAGGACGTGCAACTAAAGCATATTTTCACATGCAGTACAAGTGCACTCATTCTCTTTAGCTCTTAAGATGTACTACCGATTAAATTTTTTCTTTGTTATGAGGCTTCGACGTCACGTAATGCGAAGGCGTACAAAAAAAATTAATTTCATGTTCGACTTTATTCAGCTTTACTCACTTAAACGACTTTACGCATAAAAACAAAAAGCAGTTGGAGGTTTTTGTTGTTGGCGCTCACGTTTATAATATTTATACAAAGCAAAATGCCTACACTCCGAATTGCAACTCTGTCGTCCCAATTACTAGATGACGGGTAGTTTTTGTACTGGGTAGAGGAAGATCGTAGCTTTTGCGTAATAAGAAGAAGACACTATAATAGCTGATACTGAAAATTCAAACATAAACACAATTCTTTCATTTAAAAAATCATCATAGAAAGCTCTTTCAATTTTTATCAATTACTTTTTTGAATTGGAAAAGCGATGTTTCTTTCTTCTTTTAAGAATTTAACGAATCAACGCCAGATTATTCACCGTGCCAAGTTCGATGGTTCAGTGTAAGCATGAAGTTCTTTGTGGGGTAAGTTTTTGTTGGAGATTAGTTGTAATATATTTCTATCCTACATTAGTTGTGGTGCAAAGGTGGCGAGAAACACCCACCTTTTATTATACGTGCAACTGCTTTTCAAAAAAAGGCGTTATATGGGAATTAGTCGAAAAACTGGTCCAATCTGAACCACTGTCAATAGCAGCCGTTTTTGAGTGAAAACACGCTAACTTACCAAATTTTAACAAAATATCTCAAAAATTTCGGCCTGCAGGTTGAGCACAGAAAAAAAAAGACGGCGAGAGGGACAGACGAGCTTATCGATATAATAATAGCACGGTCTATCTGAAGTACACACATTCGCACAAATTTAATACGTCTTTGCACCACAAATAGTGTAGAGTACAAAAAGGTTAACACATATCAGCAAAAGAGAAGCTTGCCAAAAATTGAGAAAAAGAGTTGTCTTCATAAAAAAAAAAGAAAGAACAAATAAATCATTCAACACAAGACCACAAATTAGCTACAGATATAAAACTCCTCACGTTTGAATAAACACAGGTGAACATCTGATTTCGACAATTATTAGATGAACAGATGTTTACCATAATTTGGGGACAACTAACGGAAATTAAATCTCTATTAAGTGGTTTCAACTGAAATTCGAATATCCTACGATCGCGACTAAAAGCTTGTTATCCAATTATTTTCAAAGTTCAACAAAATCAGTAAAATCCAGTACAAGGTTTTTAGCCAATGCAGTCTAACTTAGCTAAGTTAATTTCCTTAAATTAAATGTGAGTAAAAGCGCTATAAATGTTGCTGCAAACAACCTCTTAACGTCAAAGTAATAAGTAAGAGACGCATTAAGTAAAATATATTTCAATTTTTCTCTTCGTTGGCAAAGCCTACTATTGCCGGCAATATAATTATGACATAGAACGTATTATGATGATGTCATATTAACAATGCAAGAGACTTCCAGAAAGGTTTTTAAGTTGAAATTTAAGACAATATTGCTTTTGTATTATCAGAAATGGAAGCATTTAACTTATTCTGATTGTATAGCGTATATAATTTGTCATTACGCTGCAACGTAACCCGTTCTTCACAACAGCCATGCATAGCACATAGCGCCGATTGTCGATTTTTTTCGCTTGCTTTCATGAATCTACAGTACAACTGTTTTTCTATCTGCGAACTCGCTCACTCATTGTCAATTGGCCCATAAATCTTCTTGGTTCGTTTCTTTTTCTAGGCTCATTGCTCAAAAATTCAAAATTTCTTGTATTTCCCTATGAAATAATCGGTGTAAGTTTTCTTTGTATACGCAAGGCCTCAACTTCCTCATTAAAGAAGTTTCGCATTTTGTGTGCATTCTATTTCCCATACGCACACATCAGTCCACCGTCTTTGAAAAGAGCTTTTAATTTATAGTAAAATCTGTATGATAACCGGCAGCTATTTGCTCTTACCCAAGTCCGACCAATAAGTCCCACTCATAAAATTTTATTTCTGCAAGATCAATATGTAATATAATTCAAATTCTTCTATTGTATTTTAGCTCCCAATTTAAAGTATTTTCGTAGCTTTGGCAACCCTGTATTTTTCTACATTTAGAGTTATAAACCAATAAGAGCATAGAGCGGCATCGCATTTTTCTCATTTTTTGTTTAGCAATAATGCGATGAGCGGATAGTTCAATTTGCTTAATTTGTGAGTTCGTGAAAATTGGAATATTTGTTAATAAATTTTCTAAAGGCCTTCATTAATTAAATATTCAATTTGGATAAAATAATTCAAAATGCCTTCAACAATATTCAATAGATTATTTTTTATTTCGCTTATCGTATTCTTGATAAGCTGTTGCAGTTTGGTGGCCGGTGAGTTGAAACTTGAAAGCATTATGATAGAAATGAAAGCATCATTAACTGTGATAATAATGTAAACGAACGTTTGAAGAAAATAATAATGATAAAAACTAAATATTAGCTAAGATTTGTTAAAGAATTCCAATGGATTATAAAAAGAGGTATTCGATCTTTGTATGAAGGAAGATATGATTATCTTCAAGTTGAAAGTGTTTTATAAATTTGTATAAATATTTGATAACCTTTGACTGTTATCAGTGTCAGTGTGAGAATGTCAAATGATTTTTGCGTTTGTGTTACTTAGGATGACCACATTTCTTATTATCAATTTTGAAAAACTGTTCATATTGTGTCCACAAGAATGTGTTTTAATATCAAACTACATTTTTACATAAAACGTGGCTTTGCTTGGCTTATCTCCAGGCAGGCACGAAGAAAAATGTTTATTCTTTTTTCTTTCGAAAATATTGAACCATTAATAACAGACAATCGTGACTGCAGCTTTAACTTTGATGTTAAAATGCCGTGGATGGTTGCTAAGAAGATATTTTCATAGAGATTAAAAGGGAAATATTTTTCTTATTTCAATTTATTTAAGCCAACAAGGACGTCCTTGAGGAAAACGATTTTATATTCATATATTTTTCTTTAAAAAATAAAGAAAGACCCGGCAGTCTTGATTGCTAATGCTCATCCTGCCTTTTTATACCAAACACCACTTGTGGTACTAGTATATATTAAACTTGTGCTGATGTATGCTTGAAATACACACTAATTATATAGAAAAAAAGCGAATTTGAATCGATCTAAGCTTGTCTGTCCGTCTTGTTTTCTTGTCTCTAATTTTTAAGATAATATTATGTACTGGCTCAAGGACAAAAGGTATTCAACATGGTTCTGTGGGCATGAGCGCACTATCGTTAAATAAAGTTTGATAATAATAATAAGAGTATAATACAATTCCACAAAAGCATTCTGGTAGTTAGCCTAAATACGAAGAGTTCTAATAAATTGAGAAACGAACAATGTAACAATGCTTCGTGGAGAACGAGGAAAAATCTATCAAAATTGAGAAACTTATTTACTTAGGAAAATTATTCTAAAATAAAAAATTTTATCTTAATAAAGAATATAAAGAAAGCTTACTTGTCAAATTTCAAACTGAGGAGAATATTCTCCTTGCCGCCTCTTAAAAAGGGAAAGTTTTCCACATTCTAAAAAGATATTACACTGAAATTAGCTTAAAAACTATTTTTGAAAAAATTTTCAACAGTTGCTTCTTTTTATATGTCTGCTTAATTCCCTTTTGATGGTACTTAGGGGGATATTCCCGGATTTCCGATTGAAAGATATAAACTTAGAAAAGTATTGAAAGATGTTTGTCTTCAAAAAAAATATATCTAACTGCTCATCATACTGTTTCGAATATACACTTAGTATTGAGGCACGTACTCCCCCAAAAAATATCTGGCTATCCGCCAATCCTTTTCGAGCATAAACACCTTCTTTGTGTATGACGAATATATGTGCCATGATTATCTGTTCGTACGTCCTTCTCACGTTTTCTCATAAAATTTTGTCATTATGAATGCGTATTTGCTACAGTAATGTATTTTATAAAATATATTTTCCAAGTCGTTTGATTACGATCTAATATCATATTTGTAAGTATGATGAGTAAATAAGTCATAAAATATTTTGGTTGGTAGAATTTTAAATGAATATGACTTTCCCCCAAGTTAAGCAGAACTAATCCGCGAAATATTTCGATTGTGATTTTTTACAGCTGGAAGACGAGAAAAAAGTTGGTTTTTGTAATTTTTATAGTATAATTTCTAATATTCAAAGTAATTTGATAGGTTTCCTGTTCGAGAATAAACATTAATTGAAATTTTGTTTTTTTATTAGTTCATTCTCAACTCATTCCATTCGCTAGACAAGAAATCTTTGCCTTAACCAACAAAGTAACTGTAAAAGAATTGAATTCTTTGAGTTCCCAAGAGACCAGCTATACTTTTAATTCTCTGCTAAAAGTGTCTTCGATATGGAATTCAAAAAAGAATCAGCTATTGCAAGTTCACTTTATGGACAATCGTGTGAAAGCTCCTCGGAAAAAGACGAACAAAGAATTTTCTCAGCCCATCACTAAAATGCCTGATCGACCATTCTATATCAGCCTGAAGAATGGTAAACCTGTTAACGTCATTGCTCATACTTATCGAGATCAATCGCTCTTGAATATGGAGAAGGCTGTGGCGTCCCTGCTTCAAATACAACACGAAAGTGGTCTAACTACTGAGGTGGATGTTCTCGGGGAATGCAAAACTTTCTATTCTGTCCGATCCAAAACTAGAATAGAAAAACTTAAGACAGATTGTTCACACTGGGATTTGAAAGTAAATTATAGGGCAGAGAAGCCATTAGGTAAGTTGGAATATCTATGAAAGTAATTTATAACAAAATCCAAGGTTTAAAAAATTACCTGCAGGCGTTCGTTTGAGTTCTCAGGAGATGGTGGAATATGATTTGTCGGAGGAAGGCATGCTAATGAAAGCCCAATCCGTAGAAACTCATCGTATGTCCTTAGAGGCCCAGCCCGAAGTAGGTAGTAAAGTGGAATCGTTGTTTATATTGGAACATACTGGTAGTGATGAAAAATCAGTGAAACAATTGGTTTTTAAGAGCCTGGACGAAGCTATTGAGAGTCTTTTAGAATGGTACCGGGTTTTTGAAATCAATGGCGATGTTGATGGCGTTATAAGTGAAAGCAAAGACCAAACAGTAGGTTTTATCTCCAACCTTTTTAAAATCCATCATTCATAATTTTCTTCCCTTTCAGTTAACGCAACAAGTGTCTTCTTATGTTAAGGATTTGTACGACGACCAAACCGGTAAGGAAAGTATGGCTAAAGCGTTCGTCAATTTGCTACCTTTGGCTCGGATTACTAAACAATCGGAATTTAAAGACATTCTAAACGAATATCCCGATATACAATTTCAACTCGTTGATTTACTGGCAGCGGTACAAACTGAAGACGCGCACAATGCCGTTTACGAATTATTAGAATCAGATGACGAGCTCTTGGAACAATACTTAAAATCATTGGCGGTGGGCACTCATCCAGACACGGCCATCATAGAAGACCTTTTGGAAAGATTACAATCGCTAGCCAAACCTATCGAAAATGATAAACTAAGCGATTCGGTCTTACAAACCCTGGCTTCTTTAACGAAACAACTCGGTTTTGAGCCCGGCAATGCAATGCTTATGAAAATTCGGTCATTTATACTGAATAACCTGGAGAGCGAATGCGTAGACGATGAGGCGTGCAAGACTCGTTACATAAGAGCGTTGCAAAATCTACAAGACCCTTCCACGGTCGACACTTTGTTGAATTTGGCATTGGACGGGGAAACTAAAATTTCCGTGACTGCCATGCAAGCTTTGCGTAGTTTTCCTATCGCGTATTTTAATGAAAAGCACCTCCAAAAATTTTCACGAATTTTTTATCAAACTCAAAAAAGATACGACACATCGGCACGGACTCTGGCCCTAGAAATCATTCTGACGATGAAACCTTCCAAGGAACAATTGGATCAGTTATTGGATTATTTGAATTCAAATGATAAACATTTCGAGATCAAAACTTATGTTATACAAAAACTGAATGTCTTAGCTGAGAAATGCTCTAAATTTCGGGCACTCTTAAAGAGATGCTTAAAAGAAAGGCCACACATCAATAATTACAATATTATGGCGCAGAAAGGTTAGCCGTTTTACCATTTACAGAAATTTCGAAGAGTTTCAAAGATTCTTTCTGCATTTTCAGGACTTACCACTGTCTTATCTCGTCATCTATCTTGGACGCCGGCTTTTAATGAAAGCTTATTAAGCGTACAGGAAATATATCGAGGCGTATTGAAACGTGGCTCAGTAGAATTATTTTTAAGCGCTGGACAAGAGGAAACTAGCTTATGCAAAGTAAGAGATTTGCCTCTTCTTTCACTTATCAATTAATACTGACCTATCAGTTTCTACCGAATTCTTAGTTGGATATTTATACCAGCGGTTTAACTTCTTTTGTTGGTGACAGCGATAGTGGTGCGGACGACAATGATTATGAGGCTAGTCCAGTTACAGCTGGTATGGAAATCTCAATACAGAGTGTTTTGCATAGGCCCTTGGTATTTTTTAATGGACAAGCTGAGCTAATGGGTCATGTTTGGAAGGGCACTGCGTCTGAACCGACGCCAGCTTTGCAAGCCACTACTTTGACTCAAGATTTTGAACACTACATTATATTGGCTTCGGGAGCTACTGCATACATGCGAGTCATAGGCTTCAGATCGATAGACTTGTATGGAAAAGTGGAGCTTAGTTTGTGGAACCGAAACGCGCAAACCGAAATAATGCAAAAGTAAAAAACTTTGTAGACATCATATCATAGCCATTACTGTTTATAAAAACAATTTCGAATTTTCAGCACTGCTGCTGCCGTTCATGGTATCATGAAAGTGGGTTTTACTTACGCTCAAGTCTCTAATGAATTCATGTTCAGCTACGAACCAAGGATTAGTTTACTAGCCGATTTAGATTTTTATTCGGGCATAAAACTGTGCATTCAATTGCAACGTCCGCAAATGTTCCTTAAGTGAGTTGATTTAAAAAATTTTATATATTTTTTGGAATAATTTTTCTTTTTCGCTTACTTCTAGCCATGCAAACACTCGTTCTGTAAACATAAAGAACACTGCTAAACGGTATTCGAAAAAAGTGAATTCGAAGCATTCGCATAAATTTCCGGGCAGTACTTTAGCTTTAAATCAAAAAAATAATGAAATGTGTAATATAATCTCCCAATAGCGGCAATCACAGCGTGAACGTTTATAACAATCCTAAGTTCAATTAGGTGTTTTCTTATTACCTCGAAAGCAATGCAAACCTTTTAAAGGTTTTATGCTAAAAATTGTTGCCAAATTTTTTATATAAATGAACTTTTTTACTAAATAAATATGTTTCTTAAAAAACAATTCTCTGGAACTATAAACATTAAAGTTTAGTAAAGTCCGGAAAAGTCGGGCTTGAATCTCCTCGATTATAAAAATACGGTAAGTAGAATTTTCACGACGTCCATCCGCTTTTGCACATCAGCAGACAAACTCAAAGGGAACGGAAAAAGACAGGGACAGGAATTTGTAGAGAGCATAAGAAGAGTAAAGCCATTAAAAAAATCAATAAAGATTGGCGATCAAAAAATCTATTATAGCTCATCGAAATCAATTAAATGAACAAAATTGTCCGATCCACACAAGCTCTTTTGAATTAAAAATCCGTAAAGTACAAATTAATTTGAAACAAGTGGCATATAAATCTCATCCCGAGTATAATTTCGCATCCAAAACAAAGAATTTCTACCTATAATTATTACACCGCATTAAGTATCGTCTTCCTGGCACGGTTTTCCACACCACCCTTGAGATACCGTGATAGGCGCGTTGCCAATTGTTTTGAATGGCTGGCTCCCCTGTAAGCCTACCTGATTATAAACCTAATTTGAAACTATGATAATATTTGCAATAATAACAATACATAATAATAAGTAATAAATAAAAGCCCCGCTAATATAAACATATATAATACATAAAATTTGCATGCAAATACGTAAGGGCCGCTGCTGTGCCGGTCCGTTGATATCTGCAAAAGAAAAATATTGTGGTTACTGAATTCTATATAGAAAGATGACCACAACTTACCATTGGCTTATTGAAGTGTCGCAATTCGCTGAAGCGATAGTGCAGGCGTGTGCTTTTTTTAATCTAATATGAAATAAAAGCAAATGAATAATTTAGACATAATAATAACTAAGGATGAACACAAACTTAGTTGTTTCAAAATTCAACTGTTCAACTGTTGGCGTTGCCGCACAAAATTATGGACCGTGAGACCGTAGGTGCGACAGGATATAGAATAGCCCAAGACATGAAATCAGAAAGTTTCAATGGTCAAATGTTTCGGCGCGTGCATTGCTTCGGTGTAATCGTCTGTGGAGTGTTGTTGGGATAAAAAGTACACAAACCATAAACCGTCTTAACTAGCCGACGAGCTAAGCCATCTATACCACATTATTATCCTTTAATGATTTCATGTCATCCGCATTCAATACACTTCACATAACCCTACTTTCAAAACTCTGCCAACTAAATCGCATGCCATGATATTTAAGTAAGCGTATGCGAATTTGAACTGAACGTCTGAAAATTTGCACATGTTATTCAAGCGTGCGCTAATCCGCAATTAAAAGGTATCAAAGGGTAAACAGCAGAAATGTCAAAACCACCTAATTTGCGATTACCTTACGGCGGAACTTCAAACAGATCCTTAAAAAAACGGTTATTTCATAAGTTTGTTCACATTCAAGAAAGCTTTGGAGATTTTATTATACTTTTATTGATTATGTAAATACACCTTGAACTTTCACTTCTGGCATGTTCTGCTTTTGTATCGATTGCAAATTGCGTTGTCTTGTGCACGCTTTGCATATATTTTGTTAATTAGAAATAAAATTACAATTAGTCTCCTCAAACGAAATCAGACCAACCAACCATTTTATAAGAAATAAATTGTGATTTACCCGCTTTTAAGACAAAACATTTTTGATCTCATCATGCTTCTCAAAACAAAAAGAAAACATTTATTTTATTTTAAATACAATTATTTTTACTTTCGGACAACTTAGCAAGTATCTAGTGATCCAAGTTATGATCACAAACAAATCACCTCGGAGAGCTTATTAAGAATAAGCAATTGATAACATACAGTTATGTTTGAATTCAAAGGCATTTTTGAAGACTATATCAGTACCCACGAATGCATTCTTTATGTTGCTTGATTGGAATAGGTATCCCCTTACGATGACTTTAGCCATATTCGCAGTAATACATTTAAATATTACAAAATTCCTCTTTTTTATAATTTACCAAGAATCTATTATCCTGCTATTGATTCAGTATAGCAGAGACTTCTGAATATATTATATTGTTACAGGCCTCTGCTTTCTTATTGTATCACCACCGCATTTAAATAAATCTAATAAACAAAATTAGTGGAAAATTTTTTACTCATATTTGCTTGAATATCTTTAAAAATAGTGTGCACTTGGTGTTTGTTATTATGCATTTCAATTGTCTGTTTTCAATACACGAGCGCATTTTAAGTTAACTTGGGAAATAATGTCAACCATCCTTCAAATATCGCATCAATAGCTAATAGAAACTTTGTGACTTTTCAATTTTGGCAACACTAATTGTTACAACTAAATTTCTTGCATAAATTTTTAAATTTATAATAAAACAATTTATTTTATTATACTATAACATAAGTGATAAAATAGAATAACATAAATTACATTTTTCCGTTTTGTATAATTGACGTTTAACAAAAAGTTTGAAATTTTTAATAGAAATTTAAAAAATAAATATACAGGTCTCCTAGGCAAAAAATTATATATATTTTATTATAAAATTCAATTACATTTCAATTATGAGTTTGAATCTGAAAATAAATATGTGATAAAAACTTCACTTTATTTAGCAAAGAACCCAATAAACTAACTCAACACAGGTATAATAGTTTATAATATTAATTTTAATTTTTTTTGTATTTTCGTTTAATTATTTTGTTTCATTGATGTTCTTGTTTATAATTTTTTTGAATCACTTCTCTTATTAAAAAATATTTTCTTCTGAATCTTTCGCAAGCGTTTGCAAAATGGTTTTTGCCTAAAAAACCGTTAGTTGCCTATATCTTTTACACCAAAATAAAGCAATAAGACGAACAAACAATAAAATAAAAATGTACGGAGAATAAATAAGAAAAAGTGGCAACACATTCGTCATGCGATCTGTTAAATTGCAAAGCAATGTAACTGAGATCTGTTAAATGACAAATTAATGTAACTGAGATTTGTTAATATATGAAAATTTTAACAGAAAACTATGAACAGATGAATAATTTTGTTCTTCTGTTTGTTTTGCTTAATTGAGAGACAATAATAAGGAAGAGAAAGAGAGAGCGAGAGAGAGAAAGCGAAATACATTCTACACTCTCTTGTCATGGCATAATATACCTTATAAAGTTTTCTTTCGCTTTTAGTCATTCAAATCCTCTGCTTTATGCATTGTTTGTGTACATTTCGAAAAAGAAAAATATATATATATATAAAATTGTTTATAATTTATATAAAAGTTCAACGAGAAAAAAATTTTGCTGATAGCTGATAAGTAAAAAACATTTTGTCGAACGATCAAAAGTAAAAAAAAAATTAATTATTCAAACATAAATTAATAAAAAAAATTACAATATCGAAGACTATACATATTATATATGTATATCATCTTTGTTCTACTTTTCTAAATGGGAATTTATTGATTTTTTTTGTGTTGCTAATAACACCTTCCTTCCTTCATGACGTAAAGAAAATTTTGTGAATTTTTTAAAGGTTTACAATAATAATGAAGAAAATTTAATTAAAATCTATGTAAACTAATAGTGAAGAGATATTTGAACTTTTTATGAATGTAAATAAATATATGTATGTAGGGGTGTGTGTGCTTCTGCACATTTAAAAAAAAAGTGTTAAATATCGGACGCAAATCTTTTTCAATGGGATGGTTATCTTCCAAATTAACACTACTCTAATAAATAGATAAACAAATTTATTTAATATATCTAAAGTACAAAATAAATAATCGTAAAATTTTTTTAATGAAATTAAAAAGAAAATAATTTTCGGGTTCTTGTACCTCGATTAAAAAGAAAACACATTTGAATATTATGTATACACATATGCAATGCATACTTATTCACCGAACAAGTAGCTAAAGCTAGCAACACACATGTGATTAACTATGCAATTTTTGGTATTGTTGTTGTTGGGGTTTTACGTGTTAGTAAGGGGATATTTTACTTACTCATTGAGTGGGAGCGAAATCTATGAACGCAATAGTTACATATGATAGAGAGAATAAGTCTACAAGAGTGTAAATAGAACCCACTACACCAACCAAGGCAGGGTTGCTCGTTCCGCCTAAAGAAAACAAGTCAGGAAACATGCACTAAGATCCCATTTTTCATACAAATTAAAAAAATTCATTAAACCATTAGAACGAATTGGAATAAATTTGAACTTAAACTTGGTAAATAAAATGCCTGCACAAGCACACAGTCTCTAAAGAAACAAGAAACTATTAGCGAAAAATCTTATCATATGATTAATTTTTCAAGCATCATATGGTTTTGAAAAAGTAACGGAATGCGACATATATGTATGTATGTGCACGTTCTAGCTGTGCATTACTGCAGTAATGTAAAGTGCATAAGCAAGTATTGTATTCAGCACTTAGGTTGTCTGTAAATGTTTTAATGGTGGAATTGCATGCAAAAAGGATTGGCACATGGCACGTTGACCTTGTTTTACATATCTCTCGCTTGGTTGATTCCAACAGTGTCAATATTCCAACGTTAGTACACCATATCAATATATCAATAGTTCGTGCTTATTAATTCATTCAAATTTGCTGGAATTCGCGCTTTTTATAGATCTCTAAGCAATAGTCTTTTACGCCGTTATCATAAAAACGTACGATTCATTGCTGGTGCAAAATGTTTTACCGTAATTTTCAGTAAACACTAAGAATTAAGTCCCACTCTTTCTGCATAAGCAAAGTGTTGACATTTGCAACAGAATGTTGGCTCTCTGAACTTGCTAAATTTAATTTGCCTGCATATGTTTGAGTCCGTTTCTTGCGAATTTTCAAGCCTTCGCTGTTTTGCCTTCCCTGTACTTAAATACTACCCTTTTTTTCAACCTTAACGATATTTTTATTTTTTCTCTTCTTACGGCTTTACTTCTCTCTTAGAATACACACTTTGTGAAAAAAAAGTGAAGAAAACTTCTCCGGTTGAAAATCTCTCTGTCCGTGTTCTCATTTTTTCTTCTATGGTCAAACTAAAAATTTTCATTAATTTAGTTACGCGTTTCACGCAAAAGAGCAAAAAGCATAAAAAGGAAAGGAAAATTAGAAAAATTAAATGTTCTTTCACAGGCTTCCTAAAAAAGGCATTTATAAATAACAAAAAGGAACAATCATTGCTAACATATATTTGTATATATAATATAAAAAGAAAAACAGAAATAAGCGAAAAATTGTAAAAAAGTAAAAAATTTCCTGAACGTGCTACGTAAAGCACAGAACACAAACAATCAAATAAAGACAAAGTGAAACGTGACTTGTGCAAGAAAAAAAAAAAAACAAATTGGAATAGTTGTTTGTGCTTACATTTCTTATATTTAATATTGTGTTACGGGGATAAAATGAAAAAAATGTGTTAAAATACGTAACCTTTGCAAAGAAGATTAAAAGAAAAAAAGTTAATAAAAGGGGAAGTGTTCGTCTTAGCAAACTACAGGTAATTCTTTACTCATTTATATGCGTAACACATTTGTAAGCCGAATACGAGTTCTTTTTTTGTTGTTAATCAATATGAATAAGACTTTTTTTGCCATTATTTACTGATAAACTGCGTTTATTAAGAATTTTATTTTTGGTATAAATTTTAAATAAGACATTAAAAAGTTTGCGCGTGTTATCTACATGTTAATGATATTTGGTGGCAAAACCACACAATTAATATAGTTGTAAATATAAATGTAAACAGGAGTGTGGTTGTTTTCAGTTATGAATAAGTCGAGGTATGTTTCGAAAAACAAGAACGTTAATAATTTAATTCTGGAAATAGAAGTATGATTGAGTTGAGATGGTTAAGAAAATTGAGGGCGTGACGTTATTGCGGGGCGTAAGAAATTTTGGTTGTTTGCCATTGAAAGCAAAACATAGACGGACAGGTCATACTCGTATTTTTTTTCTTTGTAATGCGAGCTTTGCAAGCATAGCAACCGCCCGGAGAAAAAATGCGAATAACAGATGACCCAATTCGGATAATTACTCAATAAGCCAATAGGGTTTGTAATGAAACTTATTCGAGGAAGTATTTCGCAGTCATTTTTACTTAGTAAGTTAGAATTTAACATTTCTTCCAATATTCTTGGCAAACGATTGAGACCGGCTGGACAGCAGACAAACGGACAGTCATGTAAACAGATGTGGCTAAATCTAATCCGCTATTAAAAATTTGCATTTTGTAAAGTTTTCTAATATATTTATATCTAGTTCCATGACATGTGTAGTTCCTTTTTAAATAAAAATATTTGTATACATTTCTTAACCGAATCAATCAAGTCGTCATAAAACCTGAAAGTCGGCAAGATTTTCTGGCAATAGTCGCAAATTCTCCCCGCGTATCAGTACACAGTCTTTCAGTTCATATATTGAAAATATTATATATTTCAATCACCAAAAATTTAATATTATGAGATTCAAGTACAGAATTGGCCTTTGCTCTAAGTCAGCAGCTTGATTGTGGTATGAAATTACGTAAAGAAAATATGCGACGTAGTGGTTTGAAACGGGCCGAATTGAATTTATCAACAATCAACCATTTACTTCTACATCGATTATCTTTAATTTTACGTTCCGTTAACTGGAAATGTACACTTGTTCGTTCATGAAATATTACACCCTCTTATTTTATTCCGTCTTAAAATAAATGAATTGAAAATTCTATTCGTATTACTCTCTTTGTTAATATTAACGTAGAGAACGACGATTCTAGAGAAAGTCATTCGAAACTTGGGCGTTTATTTTCTTTGAAGGCTTTTTATGTGCTTTTTCTTCTCGAAATTCCTTCATAATATGCCACAAGTCAACACATTGTTCGTATCATTAGTATCTTTAATATGCGAAAAGATTTAAATGCTGATCTGATATTAACCGTCTTCAATAGTGTTCATCCTTGTATCAAAACACGTCGGTGTACCAAATTTGATCAATATAATTGAAAAATTGCGGCCTGTATCTAAGATACAAAAAAAAAGGACGGATAGACAGACACGCTTAGATTGATTCAGAAATTAATTTTGAATTTCATTGAGTTTGGATACAAGAACAAAAGACGGACAGATGGTTAGACAAGTTTAGTTCGATATAAAAAGGAATTTCGAATTGGTTTTGCATGATAAGAGGTGTGTTTATCTCAATTTGTTCAGGTTGCTGCATACATCCGCACTTAATTTAATACATCCTTGCTCCATAACTGGACGGTTAGTCTATATGAACTCACGTATCCGGTTGATGTTGTGTTCTGCAGCTGTTTTCAACATGCCATATGATTGCCATCTGACGAGTTGACGAGCCATTGATATATGTATTGTTCCAAAAGGAATGGCTAAAGTAACGGTTAACAGTAATATGGGAGATAACGCTTTCGATTTTTTCGTCAAATTTCTCCTAAATATTTTTCTCAATGCTTGAATGAAGATCTATTTTTTCCATGAGTTTGCTTGTAACTAACCCGAATTAAATATTTTATGAAATGATTTCAAGGAAATCTCGCAAAAGAATGTGATACAAGTGAAAATTAGTAGGCGCTTGCTTAGTTTGCAGTGTCCGAGGCAGATATATTACGACGACGCAAATGTTATTCGTTGATTTTCTCTATCAGTTTGATATGTAATTTGATATGTAATTTCAAGTCAACGATATGCTGGGCGAACTTTAGAGGAGCAAGCTATGCAAAGGAGGATTGACGATTTCAAAGTGTTTGTAAATTGTCTGGTGCATATTTCTATAACTTAATATGAGTTAGATTATTATTATTATTATTATTATTATTATTATTATTATTATTAAGAAAATAAATTCTAAGACTAAAGTCTTAAAGCACTGGCATCTAAGTTTTTCGGCGTTTATTAAGAACTCTACCGCAGTTGAGATTTGAACCCATGACCATTGACTTGCTAGTCGAGACTCTTGCCTACTCGGCTAATGAGTTATATTAAAACGAAGATTTGGTACGAAAATCGCACACTCGTTAAAATTGCTTTTTATGAAATTTAATTTACTTTCTACAAAAAATTGATTTTTTGGACTGTGTTGGGCGATGTTGATAAAAGCAAATAAAGATTTTCGGTGCTTTACTTTAGTAATAAAACAAAGGCCAGTTATGCTGCCAACGATAGATGAAAAGATTAGAAAAAAATGTTCGCAGATAAAAGGCATAACAAAAATATGAGAAATCTGCTGTTAAGGAATTGTCTTCAACAGCACGGGACTTATTAGATGTACTAATAAGTTCTTCGTATTGAAATTGGTTCCATAAAACGTATCTACTGCCATAATTTTTCCCGGAATTTTAGGTATATATTAACAAAGCCCTCGTCTGTTATGTTTTTCATCGTTTTAAGAAACCCAGTAAGATATGAAGCAGTTGCAAAGCGATTTGCGACATTTCTCGTAAACGATCTCACCTTTGAAAACGATGACAATTCACATATGTCTGTCCGTCCCCTTCCCGCAAAAGCAGCACAGGAAGTGATCCGTCCGTATTCTCCAAATCTGACCCTTTCGGGGAAGCACCGTTTCTCATCGATGCAGTTATATTTATCTGATTAGCGGTTCCAATAAAGTTGAAGATATGCGAAAGTTTGTCAATGATGCAGTTTTTAGTCCGGGGGAATCCGCAAACTAGTCGATAAAAGGTAAAATAGGACAATAGATAGATACTGATGATGCTTACTTCGATTCCTAAGCTTGACATCAAACATATTTCAAATAAAGTTGAATTTTATTAATCAACTTATAACTTATACTTAAGGCAAGTAGATTTGAATCGTGATATTCGGAAAGAGAGAATTCGAATAGGGGAATTGTAGTGTTGTGTTAAAAACAAAAACACTGTTAATAGTAGATTTTGTAAATATAGTTACGCCATCCTATATTCACAATCTCATCTAATTTGAAGAGTATTAATTAGGAGGAGGAAAACTTGTGTAATCAAAAAAGACATTTTACTTAACAATATTCGCAGATTAGGACCAATTAGGACCATCACCGTTCCCACGCGAAGTGGCCATATCGTTTGAGTGGTTGTGTAAAAAAAATAAAAAATTTTAAGTCGATTTACCCACTTGTGCGTATATGTGTAAATTTTTCAAAAACATTTTTTCCATCTTTTCCTTTGTCAAATAAAGTGCATAATGATGATTTTTTGCCGGTTGTTTACGTTTAGTATTTACTCGTTTATCGGGGGATTATAGATAAAAAAAAAATAAAAAAAAATAAAAACAACTACACATCTATACGTATCAACTGCTTGCCTTCTGCTTCAATACATTTTCGTATGAATTCTCTCCCTCGAGCAATTTCAAAAGCACTTTATAAATGCTTTCAATGAGTAGATAACAAGCAAGTAAATTGCTTATTTGCCAGATTCCCAGAGTGTTGATTCAATCAGAACTGACATATAAACTGAACTCAATTATAACCGGATGTTTAATCTTTTTTTTTTATTTTATTTTTTTTATTTAATAAACATTTTTTTCAATGTATTTTGCATTAGACGTTTTCTTTATTCTCTCTAGTCACGCGGACTTCATTCTATAAAAAATTGAATTAAGATAAATAATTTTAAATATATTTTTACTTGGTTCTTTTTTTTTTTTTTTGGTCTGCTTAATTGATAAATGAATTTTAATATTTCATATAATTTATCATTGTTGACAAGTTGGGTGGGGGCATGTGTTAGAACGTTTCAAAGAAAAGAATCCTCGAAAAGTTACTCCGTCTCTGTTACAATTCGTTTCAAATAAACGCATTCAGAGTATATTAATATGTCAAATTTCATGGTCGTTGATTTTAATAAAACTAATTAAGTTTTCAACCGTGAAAATTTATTAACGGGTTTTTATTACTTCATTTAAGCAATATTTTAATAAGCTTACAAGCCTTAATATGTAATAAACGAAGTTTAAAAAATCTTAAAAAATCTCTTTTTTTTTTTTTTGAATATATTGAATACTCTAATTACTGCGAACGCTTGCGCTCGATGCGGTATACAAATTTCAATAGAATAATAAAAAAAAGTGCTCTTGTTTAAAGTCCATTTAAAGCATGAAAGCGCTGTTGGATTCAAAAAAAAAATTTCATTTCAAATTTAAGTCTGTTAATGTCTGTGGAAAGTTTCCTCGATCAATCCCATTAAAAAGGAACTTTTTGATGCGGACTGCCGGATTTAATCAACTTAGCTTCTGTTGTATTTTGCGGAAACGTATTACGGTGTCTAGCTTGCTAAAAATAGGCACAGTGGCAGATATTTAATCTGTACTTGCACCATATTTCAACTTTCCTTATCAAATCGTATGGCTTTGCGACCTTGAGAAAAGAGTAGGCAGAGGGATATCCCCATAAGGGTAAATCTAACTTTATATTAAGTAAAGTAGATGGCAACCGCGTACTCCACACTTCAATCCCCTCCTAATGACGTGCTGATCTCAATCTCGATCTATCTGTATA